ATCGCCACCCCTTCATCCACTGCCATCTCACTGCTTCCTGCTAGCTAGTTTGTTGCATCTCCAGGTCTGACCAGGCTGACTTCTTTTGCCTTGGACTTCGGGCTCTCTTCTTCAACCTTTTGGGATCGCAACCTCCCAAACTGTCTCCAAGAGTTTCTCCTCACCTTGTCGATCCCTCCAGGACCTGACACCATCACAAACAGCCATCCAGAGGTGAAAATCCCAGCTCAGGAGATCAGAGCAGATTTCTCCTGAACTGCCATGATGCAACGTCACCTAGTCTTCTTCCATTTTTTTCATTCCACCCTCCTTCCAAGTTCAACAGCCCTTAAGGTGAAAAAAGTAACTTCCAAAATCACCCAGGAATGTTAAAACTTAGAAATTAAAAGAAAAAGGATGTGGACATTGCTTGGAACAATGAAAAGGACTTTGTTGCAGAGACCATAGAAGTACAAGCAGTCCTTGACAATTCATTTAGTGGCCATTCAGAGTAAACCATGGTACTGAAAAAAGTGACTTATGACCATTTTCCACACTTACGACCATTGCAGCATCCCCACGGTCACATGATCAAAATTCAGACGCTTGGCAAGTGGTTCATATTTACTATGGTTGTAGTGTCTGGGGATCATGTGATCAGCTTTTGCAACCTTCTGACAAGGAAAGTCAATGGGGAATCCATTTAAGTACCATGTTGCTAACTTAACAAATGCAATTATTCATTTAACAAATGTGGCAAGAAAAGTCGTAAAATGGGGCAAACTCACTTAACAAATGTTTCAACACGTCCCTTTTATCTTCCTTCTTCCTCCTCCTTGTCATTTGGGAAAGTTCCAGAACTTTTTCAATATAATTTGTTTTAGTGAATGCCCCAGTGGTGAGATTCAAATAATTTAACAACCGGTTCACTCAGGGTCATTTTGGCTGTTGTGGGAGGCATGGCCCATCCCCATCCTCCAATTCTATTGCATATGTGAGATGAGCCTCCCGCGATGACCAACCTGTCCCTGGGCAAAGTGGTTGTTAAATTACACACACATCCGCTATCAAAGTGGATCCTGGATGCTACACTGTAATGGAGAAATGGGAAATGGAGCAGCCGGCATGAGGAAAGGAGGAGGATCAGGGAGAAGAAAGAGGGAAAGCAGCCTCCTCCATCCTTCGCACTGGCTGCTCCATTGCCCGTTTCTCCATTGCAGTGCAGCGCAGCACCTGGGATCCACTTTGATAACTGGGTGAGCACAGGGGTGGGATTCAAATTTTTTATCAACCAGTTCTGTGGGCCTGGCTTAGTTGGTGGGCATGTTGGTGGGCAATATTTTATCAATCTTTAGAAATAATTACAATGTTTCCCTCCATTCTTTATTATTGCATTAATTATAAATAAACATACCATTGCATAACAATACAGTTTTATCTCATAGATTATTTACTTAATTCATTTCTAACTCATTACAGTATTCTACATTACAGTATTCTACTGTCACAACACTATTCTTTGTACCTCTGCAGAATCCTCACTTTTAACTTAATTTAGCCATTGTCTCTGTGTTTTCTAGCTGAGCAAATACCTTTAATCCTAGTAGGTTTCCCCTTTTTCTTTATTTCCTGCTTTTGTCCCTCATAAGTTCTTTTCCTTTCTATCTTCCCCCCTTTTTCTCATCCCTTTTTTATACCCTTCTCTCTCTAATTTTCCCTTCTATAGTTTTCTTTTCTGCTTCTCCTTGCTTTTATACTTGTTTTTCAGACTATTTTTCTTTTTGGCTGTTCCCTTTGATCTCAAACTTTTAACTCCTTTCCCCCTTTTTACCACACTTTGCACTATTTGATCACTGAAAATAGCTTCTTGTTTGTCCTGCCCTTCTTCTTGCTCTTGAAGCTTTTCCTTTTGCTCTTCATAATTCAGGATCTCCATTTCAAAAAATTCAAACACGAAGCCATAGGATCTTCCTCCCCTTTCTGCATCTTCTTTCTGTTTTTTAAGACTCATCTTCAATTCCTCCAGGAGTGATGCCATTTTAAACACTTTTGAACAACCACCCAATTGACTTTAAGACAGAAAAAAAAAGAACCAATGCCAAAAACTATTTTTTTTTAAATCACCAAATGATCCCAGACTGTTCCTTCTTGTTTCTTTCCTTTCCTTTCCCTTTCCGTGGGTTACTATATCTTTTAATAAGATTTCAGTTACAATGTATCCTCAGGAGTCTTTTCGAAGTTTCACTGTTAATCCTCTTTATTTTTCCAGGTGGCACTCCATTTTTCCATTATTCCAAGTCCCACCCTTTTGCCTCCACTCTTCTCCTTTTTAGGGCTTTAAAATGACCAAAGAAAAATCTTTATTCTCCTTTTGACACTTAGATTTCAGCTTAAAGTTGCCTATTAGTGTCAAAATAGATTAACATAAATTTCTTTCCATACCATTTGTAATTGTCAATATAAAGGTAAAAAAAGGGGTTTTAACCTCCTTTTCTCTCTGCCACTTAAAAATCTTCTTTCAGAAGTATCCCTCTAAGTACTTTTAGATTCAGAGTACCTTGCTTAAATGTTTTCTGTTGTTTAGCCTGGTCCGTCCCGCTTTCCTCTTTGTCTTCCTCCTACACAATCTTATCCAGTTGGGTTCTTCTTTGAGGTGGCCAATTCTGACCACCGCTACAACTGCCTTCAGGAAAGGGAGTTTGGACCAGCCAAGGAGGAAAGATGCGGCTCCCCTCCCCTCGGCTAGCAATCTCCCCCCTCTTCACCACCTCTATGGGTGGCTTCAGCCCCAAATCCGAAGGATCGGGGCACTCCAATGGCAAGCACATATTGATACCGCGCACGATCACGGATTTCAGCCTGTCGCTGAAGAAACCCAAACCAGAAGCCCAGTTGCTTCTTGAAATGACCTGGATGACTGAGAATGTCCATAGACATTACTTGATTTCTTTTGCCAGAGTTGGTTTATTTTTATTTGCAGGTCTTTGTGTTTTAATATCATCTCCAATTGTTTCCCTTCTCTTCTGCTGTCTCCAAGCACTGCCGCAATCTATTGTTATTAATGTTATTTTCCTAACAAGAATTTAAACTTAGGCATATAATTTTCTGACTCTTCAGGCTAATCAGATCTGAATGATCAATGATATTTCTGCAGCTCCTGCCAGTGCTGGATCAAGAAGCTGAGTACCATGCTTTGATCTGAGCCAGTCTGATAAATGAAGTTTGTATCCTCTTTGAGGTTATCTTTGACATCTTCCTCAGGAGGATTCCTGCAAGATCATATATCTAGATCCCATATGAACTTCCTCTCCTGTTCTGGACTTTTCATAAGATTGTTGCTATGATTTATAAACTGTGCTAATCTGGAGGTTTTGCAGAAGTTGTTTTAATTGTAGCACACTTCTGCATTTTTCTTTCATCAGAATGCAATTGTTTCATATTTTGAGTTCTAGACAAATCATTTAAACCAAGAGCCATACCCACTGTAGGGCATTCCACAACCCACTGGGTCTCACCCCTGATCAAGCAGGACAACATTCTCTCTATCCTTCCGGGGTTCCTACTCCTTCCAAGCTTTTGTGTTGTCTGTCAGCCCAGCCATTTCTTGCTCACTCCCTGGTTGCCTCTTACTAACTCGGAGGTCCCTATAGCCGGCTGGAGAATTCTGGGAGTTGAAGTCCACAAATCTTAAAGTTGCCAAGTTTGGAGACCCCTCAGTTATCTCACTCCACAGTTAGAAAGCTCCTCTTGCCTATGGAGATTCTCAATCATTCAAGTCATGGTTGCCCCAAAGGTGCTTTTTTTTCAACAGGCAACTGGACTTTCTGGTTTTTCTTTGAAGATCTTTCATCTTGAAAGAATTGAAGAAGCTTCTTGGATGCTTCTTTGAAGCAAAATGTCTTCAAAGAAAATCCAGTTGCTTGTAAAAAAAAGCACCTTTGGGACAAATCCCCTCTTGAGATTCTGCACAACCACCCCTCCCCCACGGTCCTCCAGAATTGCCGAACCCAAGCAAGAGCCTGGTGCAGATAAGGAGCAGTGGTTCTAATCAATAAATGTTCACCACCCTCCGCCAAAGGAAGCCAGCGGGCTCCAACCAGCCAGCAAAGGAGGATGCCCTGCCGGCCTTCCTGAATGCAAAAGGGGAGCTTCACTCCATTCTCTTCTACAAAGTCTGTCATCTGCACCTCTATAACTGTCTGGTTTGGTTCTGCAACCCAACAGGACAGGCACAGACTCCAGAGATTAATTACGACTGCAGAAAAAAAACAATTACTACCAACCTACCTTCCATTGAGGACATGTATACTGCACGAGTCAAAAAGAGGACTGTGAAAATATTTACAGACACCTCACATCCCAGATATAAACTGTTTCAACTCCTTCCCTCAAAATGCCTTATAGAGCACTGCACTCCGAACAACTAGACACAAGAACAGTTTTCCCCATAAGGCCATCACTCTGTTAAACAAATAATTCCCTCAACACTGTTCAGTTATTACAAAGTCTGCACTACTATTACTGTTAATCTTCTCATCACTCCTTATCACCCATCTCCTCCCACTTGTGATTGTAGGACTGTAATTTTGTCACTTGTATCCTAAAGATTTTAATTGACTGTTTCCTGGCATGATTTGATTGCTTATTATACCCTATGACTATCATTAAGTGTTGTACCTGATGATTCTTGACTCTCGACGAATGTATCTTTTCTTTTATGTATACTGAGAGCATTTGCATCAAGACAAATTCCTTGTGTGTCCAATCACACTTGGCCAATAAAGTATTCTATTCTATTCTATTCTATTCTATTCTATTCTATTCTATTCTA